GGTTACATATACTGAAACAAATACATATTTAACTTTAGTAAATCTTTTTACGTGTTTCAATATGGGTCAATATTCAACAAAGATAGCTGGCCTGCAACTCATTGCCACACTCGCAACCAATATAAGAAATATAAAAATAAGAAGATGTGGTATGGTTGCCAATGAGACAACTCTCCACAAGAGACAAAATGACACAGAAATTAACAATTATAGGTAACCGTACGGCCTTCATCAATAAGTAAAACCCATATCGCATAGTCAACATTATCCGCCCAACCTCATGAAAAGTTCTCAATTTTGTTTGTTTGTAATACTACACATTCTATATACCTTGTCTCGAGATGAGACAAATTGTTTTTTTAAACATATTGATAAGAATAAAAACCAAAACAAAACAAAGCAGAGAGATGGTCTAGTGATCAGAGATACACCTGCTAGCAGCAACTGAGAACATAATTTTGTTTAATGGTCCAAGACGTTCCATAAAAATATCGTTCAATTTCAAAAGGGGTTCTCTTTTCATTATTTGGAAACCACTGAATTTTGATTTTTTCCTACAACCAAGTATCTTAACTCTGGAACGGTAAAAGAGAAAACGACGAAAATCAAATTTAATCTGTCATTTGTGGTCCAAAATATTCCGTTTAGATTTCAATGAATTTCAAATAGCGGCTCTCTAGTTATCATTTGGAACCCAAAAATGTAATGAACGGACAAAGGGACGGACGGACACTGGGATTCTCAATACCCCTGAATCTGTCGAACGGGGAATAAAAAGATCTGCTTTTGATAGAAGGCTCTCAGATTCTGACACCAATAAGATGCTTGATTTGTGGATAGACAAAATCATTTATTGGACTTGTTTTGCAAACAAAAATCGACAGTCCTATGTAAACCAAAAAGATCCGGAGACTATGACCAATATAAAATAGAGTCAGGGATAGATAATTGAGTTTTGAAGAATAAACTCTTGACTATTCACTGTTAACTTCAGAATTCTGTTTTATTCTAACTGACAGCTCAGTCAACCATGAACTTTTTTTACAATGCATCAAATTAATTTATTATCTTGCAATTACATTTGACAGCCATTTGAAATGAGAACAATGCATCCTGAAAAATAGGTAATGAGATTGTGTTTATTATTCTTTTTCGATATTTCATGTTATAATAATTGGCTTGCACCTAATTTGTTTGACAGCATAATTTGATGTTACATTGACTGATAATTTCTCTGCTGTAACGGATAATAAATTTTTAAAAAAATATAACCGTAGAATGTAACAATAAGTGTCAAAAATCAAACAATTATACATTCTGTTTCTCTGAGATAATCTTGATAGTATAACATAACGATTCAAGGAATACTAATTAGAAAAACCAAATAAAATACGTTTGTAAGTAGAAGAGATAAATTAACTGATGAAGAGCGTTTGTAGTTGTTTATTTACAAGTATGATATGATTTATGTGGGCACAACACGTGACCATGGAATAAACTGCTCTCGGTACGCTTGAAAAAAAATGTATAGTAATTAAACATATTAAGCATGTCTGATCATTTCAAAGCAACAGGACCAGTCAAATACACAATACAACCGAAAACATGTAAGGTCCATAATAATTAAGGGATTTGTAAAAATATTTTTTTAGCAATAACATTTTTCTTTTATACCAAATTAATGCTTTAAATCTACAATCACTTTTAAATTAGATGTAACAGTAGTGTGTCGATGTTCTAATCTAATAAATCCATTTGGAAGATACAAATCAAGGTAAAAAACAAAAATAGAAAAAAACACAGAAAATCGATCTTTTTGAAAACAAAGATGATCTGCAGTTTTCGTTACGTTGGGTTTACGACATAAGCCAACAGCTGCGTCAGGAAAACAATGACAAGTTTCTTATTTAAATGGTTCTGAAAAGGAAAAGTAAAACCGTTAGTATTTCAAACAGTTACTTTCTAATAGAAAAGAAAGTTTGGTTCCTTCTTTAAAAAAAAAGCTGCAGCACTCGGATTTAAAACATTTTATTGACAGTCAACATGTGTTTTTGTCACTGACTAATGTTTTTTTTAATCATGTCCTCATTATAACAATACCGTCTGAAACTAAAATCATGGTTTAATTCATTTGGAATAAGAAATTACACAATAAAAACGCAGCTGGGCTTTGTACGATTGCAATGTTTTAAAAGCTTTCTTAATTTGCGTTCTTCCTTAAATAGAATCTGTTTCATTTTAATGTATGGTTTATTTTTTTATCAAACAAAGGTTAACTTACGAGAACGAACGTTCCTTAGAGATATACTATTGGAGATAGATAAAGTACAACGAAATACTTTTTACGACTTTTGTTTGCTTGTGTAAGTTAAAAAAATTAATAATTCATTTTATGTCAAGAAATTATCACCTTTGAACATACTTAAAAACCCATAAATGAGCAACGAAACTATTAGGGAAGCGGGAATTATATCTTAAATATCTCCCATAATGGTTATAATGTTGCTAAGAGGCAGATATGCTTCATGTTTTCGTGTATTTTCAGTAACCATCGTACGAATCAAATACGTCTGATGTATCGCAATACGCCAGTTTCTCGAGGTCAATTTATACAAGTATTTTGAAAATTTGATTCATGTCATGTAAGGTGAAGGTTTAGTACCATAAATTGTGCTTAATCATAACATTTATCATCAGAATATTTAATCAAATTTTTAGGTACATTTGAAGAATGTTGAATTGATATACAGACAAACACAATAGTTACAGTTATAGTGGTACACTATCTACATGACAAAAAACGCAAATGAAAAATAAATTCTGATCAAATTTAGAATATTGGTATCCAGCAAAAACTGACTTAAGAGATATAAATATTCTAAAAACCCATATAACATATAAAAACAAAATATATGTATTTAATATAAAGTAATGCATAGTTTCTTTAAAAAAATCTTTTTCTTTGTTAGTTAGCTTAAATCATATGTCAAGTACTACAAGTACGTGTATCTTCTCTGAGTTTTATACGGTTGTTAATGAACCCGACAAAGACACAAAAGCTTACAATTTTATATTCAAATACAAATATAGAACATCTTCCAATCGAACTACTGATTTGAGACATCCCAATTAATATTTTAAGCATCAACCTAAATAGAAATTGTACAGATAAAACAATGACAATCAAGACCAAAACGAGGCAACTGATGTGTATAGTAGTAGTTTGCCGACATTTAAACTAGTAATACATCTTTGTTGAAGAGTTAAGATAATCATCAGGGAAAAAATATTACATAAAAAGTACTCGCTCTTATTTGAAGCAATTTAAATGTACAGCATCTGAACGTACAATACAACAACATTATACTTTTAATATTAGTAAGAAAAGTTTGTATGAAAACCACACCAAAGACGCCTTGGGTTATCCTCGCCAGGGGCAGAAAAACCTTAGTTTTTCAATAATTCAATACAAAGTAAATTTACATAAAATTAACGTGTAAATTGATTGTTTATGCCAACATTAAAGACTCACTAGTGGCTCTAGAATCAAAACAGTTGGAAGGCTAAATAAAATACAAAGTTAAGATCAAATACGGCTAATGCTATCTATGCCTGGAGATAAAAAAAAACCTTAGTTTTTCGAATAATTCAGCTTTTTATACACACTCATTTAGTTTACAGATAATGAACGTATTATTGATTTTCATTCAAACACAAAACTGTGGACTTCTGAACTAATAACGGTCGTTTTGATAAAACAAAAAATATAAATATTGGAATAAAAACATTTCTAATGTAAACATAGTTATTCATACATTCGATATTTAAATATGTTAAAGGTTCGTGTAATTTAGGAAGCAATGCATAGTAGGGTTAGTTGTTGGAGACAGCTACAAAAAAGTGTATGGTAGATAAATCACAATCTGTAACTATAAAAATAAAAAGATGTGGTATGATTGCCAATGAGACAACTCTCAACCAGAGACCAAATGACAAAGAAGTTAACAACTATAGGTCACCGTACGGCCTTCAACAATGAGTAAATCAATACCGCATAGTCAGCTATAAAAGGCAACGAAATGACAGATGTAAAACAATTCAAAAGAGAAAACTAAAGGCCTGATTTATGTACAAAATAATGAACGAAAAACAAATATGATATACAGCAACAAACGACAACCACTGAATTACAGGCTCCTGATTTGGGACAGGAACATACAGAATGTGGCGGGGTTAAACTAGTTTGAAGGCGCCAACCCTACCTGTAACCTTGGACAGTGGTGTAACAGTACAACATAAGAACAAACTATGAAAATCAGTTGAAAAGGGCTTAACTCATCAGATCGATACAAAGCAGAAATACATCTAACCCATTCACAGACCGGACGTGGAAGGGTACTTATACATCCCCACCACAAAAAAGACACTAAGTACAGATCTGAGAGTACTCGCAGTTACTGCCAGCTAGTTTAAAGTCAATAACAACTAATAAAAAAATCATGCATCTAAGACTAAAATATCAGTCAGTTCACATCCAACATCCAATGGATTTAGCGTAAAGACATCATTAACAGTCAGAGAAAAACATGAAAGCCAAGATACAGGTATCGACAGATTGTAGAACCATGGATGTACACGTAAGAATAAAAAAAGAACTAGTTAGACTATTTAAAAGAAAATTATTTTGAATTTTTCACAGTCTTAGATCTTTAGATACTATATTCGCATGGTGGCCATGGTTAATTTATACACAGAAGGTGTCGCGTACCCTCACGAAGCACCCGGTATCGCGTATTAAGGAATTCATGCGAGGTCCTCAGTTTTTATTTCTTACCTTGATTTGTCTTCCTAGATGATGATATTTGAACATCGGTATACTACTGTTGCCTAAATCTACTACCAAGTACCACTAAATTTAAAAGTTTTATAAAAAAAAACAATCCTTTAAGTTATATAACTGTATAATATTTCCTTGATAACTATTTATATTTTTGTTTCAGGAACGTCTATCAAAAGAAAAAATTGCAGGTACGTGTGTCTACTTTTAGTTACTATATATTTAAGATAGCTTCCTCTTCCCATCAATCCAATTACAATATACTGCTGTTTCTTTCATGTTTGCTTTTAAGCATGTTTGCTGAATAGTTAAAATATTTTGCAGAAAATTGGTACTGGAAATAACTCGCTTTAATCTATAAAATGATAATTTTAAGATAAAAAACCAGAACATGATTTATGCGACAGAAAAGACCATAGAGACGTCAGATTTTATAAAAAAAAAATTTATTTGATTAATCATTTGACTGATGTTATTTGTTTTGAAATTATTTCATGATTTGTGCTTTTGCATTGGTCTAATTTTGAATGTTCAAAAATGAAGGGACGCACTCATGCATATCACACAGTAAATACAAATCCGCGATATGAAAAAAAGATGGTGAGCTTAACTAATTATACGTTACGAAAACACCATTTAAGTTAGATAAGAGAGGCGAAAGATACCAAAGGAACTTTCAAACTCATAAGTCGAAAATAAACCGACAACGCCAATATAACATACATATTCATGAATTGCAGAAAACAAGGACCATTTGGTAAATACTGTTTGATTCAAAATTTATGAAATCATTTGAAATTAAGGAATGATACAAAAAAATGTGTTTCCTGATATACTTTTACAATATGATAACTACAAGTAAGTATTATCTAATGGTAGCTTACAGTTTTGCAGCAACTAAATAGTTTTTTATTTTGCATAAATATCTTGAGTGATAATCCAATAAAAGTTTTCTTCGGAGAGGGATACATTTGATCCTAATTCAGCCAATAATATATTGACAATAAGAATAACACTATATTAATTGAGTGCGAACAAAGCCTTTGTCCAGATTAACCTTCCTCGGGAACGTTCAAACACAAACATTTGAAAGCCAAAGATGTTCAATACCTTAACAGGTTGAAGAGCTATATGACAAAAAAAGGACCTGAACAAAGAGTTTATATAAGGTCAACTTTACCTGATGGAGTTGGAACCTTAGTTTCTTAATAATGTTTTCATTGTTAAGGGAAAATTTAAGAAAGGTTTGTTATAAATCATGTACACTGGCTTCTTGTTCGCCTCAGAATGTAACAAAATTTGATAAAAGAAGATTTCTATGTGCAAAATGTGAGATTTTTTTCTTATTATTGGAGAAATTACATGTCAATACATTCCGGAATTCAAAATGTCGGCTACAGACAGGGCGATAGAGAATGTTTGTTGAATGTGGAATGTTCCGGGGCGTCTGAGATTACCCCAGGGTTTGGGTGGAGTTCGTGTTGCTCAGTCTATATTTTTCTATGCTGGGTTTTGTGAACTGTTGTTTGTTTTTAGGTCGTTTTTCGCCATACAGTTGTTAGTTTGTCTACATTTTATGAGTTTGAACATCCCTTTTGGTATTTTCCACATCTCTTTTATATGCAATACACGAGATAAAATGTATATGTTAGACTGCATCTATTTTTATCACTGGGTGTACAATCCGATATATTTTCGTTTTTATATCAACCAAATTAATTGTTCTGCTAAACAAACATTTAAATAAAAAATTGGACAGCGAACTAAAATATTTATCTCTTCTCAAGAGTATGTTACTAAATGATCACCTCATTCAGTTATAACTAAAGTGAGATATCAGTAATCTCCAGTATGTTGACATGACTATTCAATTGGAGTTAATTGTATTATGTCTGAAAATGATCATCTACAACAAAGTCAAACATTATAAAAGACTAATAGTTTAACAGTTGCAATTGCATTATAAAGTAAATGCCATCTGTTATTCATCAAAAATGTATACAGTGTGTCACCTAAAATAGAAATACTGGCGAAAACTTCACAACCAGATTACATCAATGTAATAGAACTATGAGAATTCAGAACGACATTTTCTAAATACCAAGTTCTTTATTGCAAAATTATTGCGCTCCTGTAGCAAGAATAGGTCGGATACAGCTATGTCGTGAGATAAAATGATATATGATGAGCGGTCTTAATTATCTAGGACGTAATAACCTGTACATTATAACCATTAAATAATCCCTACTTAAAATGGATTACCGATGAAGATAATGGATTTTTCTAGATAATGTTAGCCGACTCATGTTTTGTACTTAATTGTTCTCTCATTATTTCAAAGTTATATTTTAAATAATATATAAGCTTATACAATATAACTGTCATGCTGCATGGTCAGAACGTACAAATGCATTAATGCATTTTAAAGGAGGAAATTAGTTAAAAAATAATGAGGTTGTCATATAAGAATATATAAGGCAATGCAAATAAAGGAATTATATGTTGTAAAAGGGACCCTTTGGTCCAAATTTATAAAGTCCTAGATAAAGTGTTTCAAGTTGATGCATGCATATTTAAAAAAATGTAGTATTTTTACATTAATACCGAAAAAAAATGATATTTTGTTGATTTCAACTCATTAAGGACAGGAAACATAGAGCGCAGGGTTCGACAAACTTATAGTTGATATTTTGTTATAACGAATACAACGGTTTCTGGTATTTTTGTCGACGCATCTGTTGTATGCTCCTGTGAGAACAGACCTTCTCCCATTGAATTTGGTACACAATCAAAATTCATGCTTTTTCGACGTCAAAAAATTTGCCCATTGTGAAAGGCCGCACGGTGTCTTATAGTTCCTTACTTCCACGTCATTTTGTCTCTAGTGGAGAGTAGTCTTATTGGAAACCCTACCACATCTTCTTGTTTTCATAGTGTTACGCAGATTTTAAAACAGGCCCTTTTCTTATGCTATCATTGTTTAACTATGGTACATTGTGGTAATGGTAATTAAATCCGAATTACCGGTTTAAGCTAAAAACAAAAGCCATAGTGTGGCCTTATCGAACCATTCTGTATATATAACGTTCTCCATGAGAAATGATATTCAATTTAAATAAAATGCTTTTAAAAAATCCACATCCTTTATAAATGACAATTGTTATGGCATTTTCTGGGAAAAGACCGTTAATAAAGAATGTATTTGGTCCACAGGGAGATTATGGTTAGACATCAATGAGACAACAAGCCTATGACACAAAGAACAAAGAAAATGAAGTCAATATACGACTTTCAACAATAGAAAACTGTCTGTACAAATGTACATGATATTAAATCTACTGTGGCCAACTCCCTCAGACAAATTTGACCATTGACGAGTTTGGCTATTATTTGTAGGTTCCTTTTGGTCATATAGCTCCTAAAGTGTCTAAACATCTATACATTCCACGCTTCAAATGTGTAGAAAAGTATAACAAAAAAACTCCAAGGTAAATTCAAAAAGGGGAGGTAAACAAAACCTGATAAAATCAAACGTTATCAACCAACAAAACGAGTGGAAACCAATTGTTACATTCCTGACTTGGTTCAGACATTTTCCGAAGAAAATGGTAGGATTGAGTGTTCCTAATGAAGGAAAATCCCGCATAGCTCTTCGAACGCACCAAAAATATATAAAGTGTTATTTTTATTTGACCAAAAATTGTAACTGTATTGTAAACGGTTACTCTAATCTTATGTTATGCCAGTAGTAATGTGAGGAGTTTAATAAACGACAAAAATCGCGAAAATCATTTAATAACCTGAACTATATATATCAACGATGGTCAGAAAGTTTTATTTTCATAGTACATTACTTTATCGAACGAACTAAACAGACACCTTACGAAGGAATCATTAAACACATCAATACCAAGAACTGTAACCAAGTGGATAATCTATCTTTCTCACTTAGATTTTACGATGTCAAAAAATATTTCATATATTTAGATGCATGTTTTATCTTCAAGAGTGATTAGTCCTATTCGAGCCATTCCCGAAAGTGACTAAGTTGCTGCTATTGTTCTTTCTTTCTGCTGTTCCACCATATATCCGTAGAAATCTTCACTGCCAAACTTCTTCGGTGTGCTTGGTATAGTGATTATTTGGAAAACAACGGAATTTTTTATTGTGCCTATTTGGAATTCCAAAGTAAAGTCTGCCCAACATATAAAAAATTTCTATTTCTATGGTAGAATTTATTTGTATCTGTATGAGGATTCATTAAATTTAGATTATTTTAATGATTAGTTTGGAAACAAAAAAATTGTTGCAAAGTCTTTTAAAATGTGTATTATATATTAATTTCTGCTTTCCTTTTCAGAACTGAAAGAGGCCTTTGCACTATTTGACAAGGACGGAGATGGACGCATTACAGCCAATGAATTAGAGAGTGTGATGAAATCCATGGGAGAAAACCCTACTCCTAAAGAACTTAGGCAAATTATCCATGACGTTGATACTGATGGTAATATAAATTTTTATGATGAATGCTATTAAAATTATTCACGTCCTCGAATATGATTTTACACTTGTAGAAATTTTCAAAAATAAATAGTGTAAAGAGATTAACATTCTAATTAATAAATCTCTGCAAACTTGAAAATCAACTTCACACTAAACGTTATATTTAAGAGAGACAAACAATGCACACTTATGTCACTTCCCTTTTCTTTTTCGACCTCAGCTCTACTGTTTATATCTTTAGTATGAATCTATGCTACCTTTCAACCGAAAAGTTATTTTGATGAAGAACTGAAATATTTCAGAGAAAGAAAGGACAGACATTTTTTTTTTAATCCTTAATGTAAATATCTCTTCTATACAGGAAGTGGAGCAATCGAGTTTAACGAGTTCTTAATTATGATGGCAAGAAAGTATTCTGAAATAAGAGAAATGAAGGAAATCACGGATGCTTTCAAAATGTTTGATCGGAATGGCGACGGCGTGATAAGTGCTGCCGAGTTACGTCAAGTGATGACAAACATGGGACAGAAATTAAGTGACAAAGATGTTGATAGTATGATTAAAGAAGCGGACATGGACGGAGATGGTCAAATTAATTATGCTGGTTTGTATATATATAGTTACCATACAGATTGTCATAGTAATAGCCAAAACGGTGTTGCATGTATAATTATGCTTAGTCGTTGTTTTTCATACTTGTATTTTCTTGCATTTAAAAGGTTGGGTTTTTTTTTTGTTGATATCATTTGTGCTATCTTTAATTTCCTTTTTACTAGAGTTTTCTTAGCTTACTTTTAGTATATATCACAAGAACCCTTAAATAATCAGGGAAAAGCGTTTTCTGCAGAAATATTATTTTCCTAAAGATGAAAGGTTATTTTATAAACTAGCCTTATCCTCAACTTATCAAGACTAATCTCTATAAACAAAACTGAATTGTTCGCGATTATGCAGTACATAAGGCATCGATTCTTATACTTTGTAACATATAGCCGTTATAGCATAATATATATTTATATAATTCATTTAAGAATTATGCTTGTTTTAGATTACTTGGTGCTTAATGTTACATTGTAAGATTCAACGCATTAACAATAATACATGTAGCTTAAACAAATAAAGGATAAAAAGGCATGTTTATGATGACTTTTTATCTCATCTGACCCAAAGGAACAGAGCCTCTAGTTTCTTTTATCATTATTTTACATGATTCACGTAGAGTTATTCTATTTCAACGTCTATTACTCAATTCAAATCATTAACATTTATTAATGAAATCAGAAGCATTAACGCGATATGGACGACTACAGCATTTAAATAATAAATACGACTAATCATTTGATCTACACATAAATGTTTGATAAGTTTTGTGTGAAATGTGGCATATCATGAAACCAAAAAGCATATAAACAAAATTTTAAAATAAAAATCATGATTTAGTATCAAGTCTGGAGCAAATGATAATAAACTTTTTAAGATGTGGTTAATTTAAACACAAATAGTGTGCGGAGTCTTTTCTCACTTACAGGAATCTAAGTTTAATAAGTGCTATTTCACACCAAGCTTTTATGTTAATAAAGCAATCAAGTATGATAATTGTTAGTTCTTGGGTAATTTTACGTAAAAAGTAAAATAATAAAAATACCGAACTCCAAGGAAAATTCAAATCGGAAAGTCCCTTATCATATGGCAAAATCAAAATGAATGGAAATCATGTTCGGTCTTCTTATATACAAAATAAACTATGCCTTAATTTAAAATGTGCCATTAAAAACTAGATGTATTCAATCTCTCCGTATATAATGTACATTGGGACTTTCTTTTGTTTTTTTTTTTTCTTTATGAAGAACAGCTGCATGTTATTCACACACTTAAACACACATATTTAGTTCTAAAAGCTCGCAATCAATAACTCCGAAAGCGAGCTTTATCTGAAACAGTAATACTTGGTTTCATCTCCCTTGTACACACATTGTTGGTTTTTTATCCGTACTAACGATATCATAGCGTGATGGTAGTAGCGATGGTCATCTATGCGGGATCTCAATGAGATAATTACAGGACACTGAAAATAGGAAATATATGTCTAAAGGTAAATCACTGTTAAATTAGTAAGGACAACTTTTGATTGGTTGAAAGACTTTGATTGGTACGGGATTGATCGATTGGTGTTTAGCGCCACTTTCAGCACTATTGTGCTATTTACAGTTTTTATTGGTGTAGGAAGCCGTAGTGCTCGGAGAGAACCACTGACCTTACGTAGGAACACTGACAATCTTAGTCAGTTAAGATAGGAGTTGAGCTCACCTGCCACGAGATTCGAACTCACAACCTCAGTGTTGGCAGGCTAGTGATACAGTTGTGCGACTATTTAGACCACTAGGCCACCGAGGCCCCCCCCCCCCCCCCCCCCCCCGACTGGTACGGGAGTTAACTCAGATAATTATGTTTAATGATAATTTTTCAATAAAATTAATCTTTTTTTTTGTTATTTAGAAAGAATAGGTACGTTGACCTCATTTTTTTCTTTTACTTTCTTGAAGTATTCGATAAAGGCTATCTTCTCGTATTTATTCCATTTTTTCACTTCACGGTCATATGAGAATATTTATATACACATACACAACATGTACCGATTATCAAGTTGTCTGCATATTGATATTGTTAAATATCATTTGCGAGTCACAATATGAAGCTTTTTGTCGAGTGAGCGTTGCGAACGAGTTCAAAAAAGACTCCATATTGTGTCGAGCAGCTAATATTTTACAATATCAATATGCAGACAACCTGATAATCGGATTTTATTTGTGTATCTTGCAAGATAGAAACAAGTGTTTTCTTCGATTTACCAGCAAACCGGAAGATGACTTGATAAGTTGGGGTCAAACGTCGGTTTATTCATTATGACATCGATGATATGTCCGGGTCAAAGTTATTTAGGCCGGGTTAACGTCTTTGACGTCACAAAGCCGTGATATGCAATTTTATGAAGATCTGAGCAGAGTGATACAGAGAGTGGGGACACCGATAAGTATAGATTATCGGGTTTTCTACGCATTGATATCGTAAATATATAAGCCGCCAGCCACATTGTAAACCTTTTTTTGGCAAGCGAGCGATTAAAAAAGCTTCTCCTTGTGTCGAGCGGCTTATATTTTACTGTATCGAATCGCAGAAAAACCTGGTTATCTGTTGATCGTGCTATTTATTGGTATTTTCTCCTCCTTAAAACAGTTTAACGCTTGTAGAAAGTAAGCTTCTGACGTCGCCTCACACATTGTGACGTCGTTGATAAGTTGTGCTCACGTCTCAAGGTCGTAATACGATATTCTAATGCAAATCATTTAGAACGATAATTTTCATTGGACGTTGACAAATATTTTTACTGGTCAGAAGATTTCACATTGTACCAGTCCGTAACTAAGTAAGGCCACCATTTTTTATTCCGAAATTTTTTGGTATGTTATTTCTAAAAAAATAACGAAAAAGTCACATTTTGTGCTCAAAATCTTTTTGTCAATATTTAAACCATTCAGAAGCGTACAAAAAGTATGAATACGTCTTATGTTTATGTTTGACCTCGGGAGTGTACCTTTAACTTTACATTGTTTAGATGCCAAAAACGATGTAACAGTTTCGCGGACTTTTTCATTGATGGCATTTTAAACCATAATATTAACTAAAAGGGAATTTATTTTAATATGTGGCATTAGAATGGAGATAACTGATCTATTTCTAGCTTGGACTACGTAAAACTTGATTTCTCCGCTACGCGTCGCCAGGTAAACTCTATATGCGACAGTAAAATCTACGTTTTACGAAGGCTAAGCTTCAAATACTATACAGTCATCTCCTGAATAACGGATCGACTGAGCGGGGTCATACAGAGAGAGGGACGAACGATAAATCTTAATATCTTGACGTCTTGTTTATCGATCTTAAATTGTATTTGTATGTAGATGAAAGATCATTTTTAGAAACTTGTAAATGCATCTATGAAAAGCGCAATTATGAAGGAATGATAATATGGACGACAAACAAGATATGTCATGTTCATAAAATAAATATTTTGGTTTAAAAAAGTCAAGGCAATAGACATACTATGCAGTAATGGAATTATATTAACACAGTACTAGAAATCAATATTTTATTTCTATGCAAGAATAAATGGAACAATACAATGTATAGAAGACGATTAATATTTCATTTGAAAATGTTCTTTCTTTCAAGATTTCATTTGCACGGCTTAATCAATGAATGATATCCATGTCTTTATGTTTTGGTAAAATACTTTAAAGTTGACTTTTACCGTGTGAAAATATGTCTAAATGGGACGCAATATAAAAACTATAGGACGTTAAGCGTACTAATCTTAGAAAATCAATTGTTTAATTAATCTTTGGTGATATATAAAGGTTCATAGGTTAAAATATTTGTATTGAGGTTTGATGGGTGATCCATCACTTATAATCAAATGATACAGTGCGTTGATTTTTCATAAGATGAAAAGTTCGAATTAATCAAGCAAACCTCTGTGTCATGTATTGTAATCTAAATGACCAACCAAGAATCACTCGGTATATGGCAAGTTCGATAGGTTGTGATGGATTGATTATCTGACAATTAGGTCAAAATGATTGCGGAGAAACTGCAATTTAAAGAACACTGTTTTTTTTCTATTTTAAAGAATACGTTCACTGAGATATGTTAGAACAAGCTAAACAAAATAATATCAGACGCAGCTAATATTGCAGCCAAAACACACTCACATGTTATTCTTTTAACTTTTATTTGGAAATACACGGTATGAATTTTGAGTGCCTTCATTTATATTTTCAAATGAAGCTCGTTGCTTTGTTGCTTTCTTTTTCATTGTTAATGTTTTATTTCATTTGTTCTGGCTTGTATATAGTTTAAAAATATAGGCATGTGTATAATTTATATGACAAATTAATCTAAACATTATACATGCATTGACATACCTTTGGATTGATTGACGATTTCAGAAATTATATAAAAAGTTACAGTGCTTTAAGATTTAAAATGAAATCTTTGAATCTCTAAGCCTGTAAAATTGTCTTATGACGTAAATTATATACTCTTACAATAAAAAATATATCCCGCTATACCCATTTTACAAAAGGCATACTTATTTTCATTAATTTTTTACAACTTCTTGAAAATTTAATATTTAATGTCATTGTAAATTGTGAAGGCAGAAAGGATTTACGAATACATGATTTTTACAAAAGCAAAAGCAAAAGTGAAAATATAAAGATACATAAGAAGAAGGGCCATTCTTCTGGTAGAGAAACGGCCCAAGTTAAACATTATTCAAGAAGAAAAGATATCAAGGGTGCAATCAAAAGCCATTAGTTATACCTAACGAAAATATCGAACTTATAGGTATAAAAGTAAGAAGATGTGGTAAAATTGCCAATGAGACAACTCTCCACCAGAGATCAAATGACATAGAAGTTAACAACTATAGGTCACCGTACTACGGCCTTCAACAATGAGCAATATCCATACCGCATAGTCAGCTATAAAAGGCCCCGAAATGACAAATGTAAAACAATTCAAAAGAGGAAACTTACAGAAGGTGGAGGGGTTAAACATGTTAGCGGTTGTCCAAACCTCCCCCATAATCTGGGACTGTGGTGTAACAGTACAACATATAAAAAAAAATAGAAAAAAGGCTTAACACATCAGATCAGAAAAACAAGTAACAAAAACAAGTAACAAAAACACAGACCAGACGTTGCTTATATGGCATGCATATAAAGCATTTGTAATACACGATGGCACATGTTTTACACTTTAGATATATTCCGTTTAGCAGAAAGGCTCCAGTAAATATAACTTACATGCAAAACATTTTCCTTAACAAATGCATTTTACGGATGTCAGATAAGAAGATTACTTAAGTACATGTAAGAGTAATTTATGTCGCTTCTCCGAACGCTTCAGTCAGGTACACAGTGTATGATTAGTTACAGTGCTTTTATATTTAAAATGATATCTTTGAATTTATTTACTTGTAAAATTGTCTAGTGACCTAAATTATATACTCTTACATTTTATATCCCGCTACTCATTTTACAAAAGGCATATGAATATACTAATTTTCATTACTTTTTCACAACTTCCTGAAAATTTAATAAGCAGACCAGAAAATTTTTCGATGTAACAAACTAAACTATTTCAAATATATGATTAAATGCATGTAGTGACGAGGTTAGCAATCTATCAAAATATGTTCATGTATGGAAAGGTAACCACGCAGAATTTACATGTCATTGCAGCTGTCCAAAGATAAAATTAAGAACATATGACAAAATCATTGCTGTCAATACCAAAATTGACTTAATTTATAATTAAGTGTATCACCCAAAACATCTCCAACATGCTTTAGCAAATAGAATATGGCAAAAGAACAATAACATTGTAACGCTTACCATTGGACATCGAGTAACATTACTGATAAAAAAAATGAACGCACAAAAATTACAATTTTTGGAATATACATGTATCAATCCAAGGTTCTTTCAAGTAATGACAATTAAAATTCACTATAATTTTTTTTTCAGAGTTTATAAGAATGATGAAACCTGCTAGATAAGACGGATTACTAGGTTAATCAACAATTGTCATGAAATGTTGGATGACTTTATTCTGATCCATGCAACGAATGACCATATGCGAAGGACTTATCATTTATCTTGTAAATAATGTCATATTAAGTGTTGTCATCTACGTATTAGTATCAACATGTAATGTGGGTTAAATAAAAAGTAGGAAACAAAGAGAAACTTATTTTATTGACTTGTATTAAAACATTAATTCCTTATATTCCAACTCGCCTGAGATACATTTTATTGTCATAACACATGCGTAAGTACCAGAAACATTGTTATCGAATAAAGATTTCCTTAATAAATGTTTTAAAAAAAAAGCCAATTTACAAACATGCAAAATCAAGCCAAGTCATTATTCATCAGTAAAAACACGAAACCACCTACAATGTAAGGGAGATTCTTTGAAGAATTCCTCTTCAAAACCAGCAACTATATGTATATATAGTGATTGAAACATAAAAAATTCTTTGATGATGTGTACCCGTGTTGTTTCATATTCCTATATAATGACTGTCATGTTCAAACGATCTAGTACACTTAAGTGTCGTCGCCATGATTATATTTACACCACGCTATAATAATGAATAGTTTATATTTTCACTTTTGCTTTGCAAATATCAAACTTCTAAAAAATATCATAATATTTATCTTCATTGGCCAATTTTTAGGTAACCGACACTTGTTTGCCGTGAAGACTTTATAGCATACAATTTTTTTCCATCAGATTCAGATATTGTTTTCTTATTAGTTGCGGATTTAGAGGTGCTCCCATCGTTTAACGAGGAAGTAAAATTTGGTTAATGCAGTTTAAAAAAAAACCGAATTCCACGGTATAAAAAAGGTCCATCTTCCTTGACTTCAAATGATGTATCCTCTACTGGTTAGTCTTTCCATAGAACAGACCATATTAGATTGGCAAGATCACAACCTGAACTATGGATTTGCATTGTATATCGACAAATTAACCTTGTACTTTAAGTAACGATAACAATGTTTACGGAAACGAAGACACGGAAAACTGTAATTAGTGGTAATAAAATGGCCTGTCATCAATATTTAAACAATAGTTGCTATGAGTAATTCATTATTCATCAAGCAAAGGGACTTTATAGCATCAGGTGTTCATGTTGGTGATATTATCATTTACAAATACATATTACGTCCCTTCATTTTTATTTAACTGTTATCAACTAAAAGATACCGTAACCCCTTACTTCAATACGAAAGTATTATGTTAATTATTATGTTAATTATTCTATGTTTATATAGAACCACAAACCACAGACTCCCAACAGAAACAAGGAGTTGGAATAACATAAATAGAAATGATAGAAAATGTCATTTTTGTATAATTTGGTAACATTGGAGACGAATTTCATTATTTGCTAGAATGTCCATTTTTAACGGCAGTAGGAATTTATACCTCGAAAAATACTACTTGGCTCGTGTAAATATATCAAAGTTTAAAAACCTCATGAGCCAATTAAATAAAAACTCAGAGCTGAAAAGATAAAGTGTGTAAACAAACATGTGGGTCTTCATGGCTAAAATGTATATTATTTTGAAACCACTGTATTGTATATAAATGTTTGTAATTTAGATGCATATTCCTGTACATATTTTGCACTCTCTCTGTACCGATGTATCTGCAATGGTTATAAGAATAAAGATATTGTCCAAAAAAATAAAATACATCATATAAATGCTAACCGTGCATTTCTGTCTAGGAAAACATGTATTTATTAGTTGGCTTTGAGCGAACTTACAGTAATACACTTGTACTCTTTGATTGATACTTTGTGTCCCTTTTCTGTTTGTGTATTTTGTTTTGTCTCGTATCGATTTGATGAATCTTGTGCTACAGCACTGTCTAAGGGTTGAGGGAGGGTTGGGCACTCACACACATGTTATATCAATCCAAATGCTTTATGAGTCTGCTCTGAGTCGTGTCCCAGTAATTCAGTGGTAGTAATTGGTTGCTGTCTGCAATGTTTGTTGTTTTGTTTACCATAGACCAAGCCTTTGTTTTTTTTTTCTCGTTTGAATTGTTTCACATTTTGTCACGTCAGGGCCTTTTATGGCTCATCATCAAAAGCCGTACGGAGCTTACATTCACGCTCTTATGTCTGCTATGGAAAGTTGTCCTATAGGCATGCATACCTCATCTACTTATTAATATTATGTTAAAGTATGTTTGAGGGAACACAAACGTAATGATGTTATAATGAAATGTAAAAAAGGAGAAAATCAATGACTCAAATGTTAGATTTATATGAACGGCTATTTCATCCATTATTGAATTGTACAGGGAAAGATAACTTTTCTAATACAAGCATGTGACTTTAAAATTCTACATTACACAATGTATATATAAAAAGGAGATTGGTATAATTTTTTAACAATGAGACAGTTATTGAACAGGGTCCAACTGACGCACTTTTATTGTACTTTAGTTGCATGCATGCAAGTCATAAAAATGTGTTAGATCGCCCATTTCCGAACATCCACATCTGAATTCCCATATACGCAAAGTGCACAAGGTGTTCAGTTTTAGATCTTCTCCCTAGTAGAAGTAGTTGATAAGATTTAATTGATTTTATTGTAAATTTTAATTTCATGAACTTTCATCTAAGAACCACTTCGTGCGCAATGAAATCGATATCAAACATTTTGTTTTCATATATATCTATATATTTTTATTCAAATTATAACCTTTCTAGAGCTTAATAAGCACAAATATATAAAAATGAGAAGATGTGGTATGATTGCCAATAAGACAACTCCCCACCAAAGACCAAAGGACGTTGAAGTAAGCAACCATTTGTTATCCTTCTGGTCTTCAACAATGAGCAAAACTTATACCGCAAAGCAAATCATAAAAAGCCCCGACATGAGGAGAAAAGTAACGGCCTAAATTATGCACAAAAAGATACACTAAAACAAATATGATATACAGCAACAAACGACAACCACTGAATTACAAGCTCAGGGACAGGCACATACAGAATGTGGCTAGGTTAAACATGTTTGTAGGAACCAACCTTCTTCTTACCTTCGACAGTGGTGCAACAGTACAACACAAGAACAGACTATTAAAAAAAAAACCGAAAAACAAGTATGATATACAGCAACAAACGACTTCCTCTGAATTACAGGCTCATGCCTCGGGACAGGCACATAACGAATGTGGTAGGGTTTAACATTTTTGGGGGCGCCCTTTTTCCCCTCTTCCCTAACCTGGGACATTGGTGCAACAGCATAACATAATAACAAATAATACAAACAATTAATACATAATACATGTATGTCTTGAATATGATATTATATTGTTGTAAACATTTCCATTTTAACGATATAAAAATATAAGGGGGTCTCCGGATTATAGGGTTTGCTATCTAAGCTGTAAGTGGTATATGAAAAAATACGATTTCACCTCTATATATTGAGAAAACAAATCCGTTTACTCCCGAATATTTTCATACCATTTAAGCGGAAATATTTACAGCAATAAAATATAATCAAAATTCTGTGGACGTATTTTCACGAGATAAAACAACACAATTAAAAATGAAAAAATGCATATTTTTCGTTTCTTATTGGACAGTCTTTACATTTATAGACTAATGTTTTATCGATTGTATCTTTGGAATAACATTTTCTTCTATATCAAAAAATGCAAAGTACTACCATCATACAAAATTTCATAAAAATCCGAAATATCGCTTAGTTACGTATACTTTGTCTCAATATCAGAAATTTATTTACGAAAGAAAGGTTGGCGTCGACTCCATTGGAAAAAATATATTTTCTCTCATGTAATGACACTATAAAGAGGAAGTGCAATTCTACTTTGTTACGTAACAGTCAATAAGAAACAACACAAAAAACTTTTAATTTATGAAATATCATTTAATTTTTTATTTAGATATCATCTGCCATCAATATGATCTCCGATTCCTTTTTCCATTGATTATTTCCCTCCCGTTAGATAATTTATTATGCAATAGCGCATCAAAATGATGAAGCAAATTAAATTTGAAATATGGGCAATTTCAACAAAATGACAAAGTAAATTTAAACCAAAAAATGTGCAATTCAAACATTCGTGTGCCCGTAAACTGATTAGCTTGTGATGTTTTCTATTGTAATAAAAGTATTTGGTTTTTCTATAGGCGATGAAGTTTGATATATTTATCATAATTACAAAACCGTATTTTTTCTTTGATTAATGTTGATAATTATAATTGGAATACATTGTTTATTTTCCAGTTGTTTAGTTGAAGATTTGTTTCTGTGTTGAATGGTCTAATTCGGCTCAATGAAATGAAGATTGTAGCCTGGTCTAGAAATTGATGTTTTTTTTTCTTTTTTTTAAGAAAATTTGTTTTGCTTATTTCATCAGAAACACGAAAATAAAATATTTATAATATAAACGTTAGGGGAACTGAGTTTTACTTTATAACTTTTACGAAATAGTATAGAAATAATCCTGCATAAGTCCTGCATTCCCGTAATAAGTCAGAGATATCTTCTGTCGCCACTACTGCAAGCAGATACCACTAACAACAACTTGAACATTATCGGTCGACAGGAATCGATTTCTTTTATACAAACTGCTTATTGTATTATATATTTACTTGTTTGGTTATATATATAACAGTATAAAAATGAGAATGTCAAACCTGGAGCAGGATCTGCTTTCCTTTCTGAAGCATCCGAGATCACCCCCGATTTGTGTGGGGTTCGTGTTGCTCAGTCTTTAATTTTCTATGTTGTGTTTTGTATATCGTTGTTTGTCTTTTAGTCATTTTTCGTTTTTTTTTTTTTTTTTTTTTTGCCATGGCATTGTCAGTTTGTTTTCGGTTAATGAGTTTATCCTTTGGTATATTTTGCCTCTCTTTTACAAGTAAACAAATCTTATAAATAATTGTATCCGTCTTCGAGGGAAATGAACGTTATAACATCACTAAAGCACCAAATATATATGCTTTAATTGAATTATTAAACGTACCGTATTTCTGGCAATTCACAGGAAAGGACGGGTGTAAAGAAAAAGTGTCAAGATAAGTACAATATTCATGAACTCTTCTAACCAAAAGACCAGTTTCTACATGTCTATCAAAACTTTCAAACCAAACCGTTGTATCTACGATTGAATTTAGTAAAAGGATTTTTTAGTATTTTGTGGTAACGAAATCCCTGAATTAGTAATTTATCAGTTATACAGAAATTACTTTCATTGAAATCATAAACGTTATTTAAGGCACGGGGACAGTAACATGAACAAGTTTGGGAATATACACCATAAGACGGGACCAAATGGACAACAGCGAACAAAAAAGGGAAATTTTTAAACTATAGGAACCGAAAAATCGTCACTTTTGTCGTAATATACATGTTTATGTATTTTTTTTAATTTTTTTTTTTTTTTTATAGTTTTACGTGTTGTAATGTCGTTTGTCTATTTTCTATTATTATAATAATAACAATATAAAACGCTTTGTGTCTTATTTTGGTAATATTTTCTTGAAAACATTGCATTTGTTATTGATTGATTTTTGGTATTTAGCGCCACTTTCAGTACTATTGGCTCTTAAATGGCGGCCAGTTTTGATGATGGGAGAAACCCAAAGTGCCCGGAGAGAACTACCGTACCAAATTTAGAAATGGTTTATCTTGCAAGAACATTGTTATCGCAATTATATGATAAAATAACATCCCAATGAACAGTAGTGTTTGCCTATGACAGACATGATGGCGTATTTCATTACTCGTAATACAAATGCAATTAACCTTGTCTAAAATTTAATGTATTATTTGCAAGATATCTGTATTGTTTTGCAGAATTTGAGAAGATGTTGATTCAGCGTTGTCTCATGAGACATACAATGCGAAGACTAACAAGTTATTTGATTCTGTCAGCTACTATTTTGGAAAATATAATTGCAGGGAGAGGGAATAAAACCCACTTAGGTGCAAAGGCCTTCCATCAAACTTATGCAACACTCTTTGTCAGTAGCTTATTAATACAGATTTTTTAATTCAATAATCATTCAATAGATGAATTGGAAATTTCAAGCAGGATTTTAAAAGTGCAGTCGTAATGTGTCAGAGCAATTTCATTTATTCACGGGTGTGTTATTGATAAATCATAAGAGTCCCAGCATTTGTCATTAATACCAGAGAGATGTAAAAAATTGAAGCACCAACAATTCTTTTTCAATTAAAAAATTCTGTTAGTATTAGTTTTAAAACGTTATGTGTGATTGTTTATGTAAGATAAATTGTGAGGCATGGCAAAAAACGCTACTTTACGATGTTATTTTAACACCAATAATAGTTAGGTGTTTTAAAAAGAAACTTCAATACGTCACTTAGGAATACACCTGTTGATTAAGAGTACAAGGTACATGTACCTCGCCATGTATGAAATAATCATTATTTACTTCAACTTTCATAGTTGAACCATCCTACTATTTAGGATAAATTGACAGTATTTTCAATGGACAATTAAACAAAAATGTCTTGAAAATTGAAACATTCTCAAGTTGCTTTTTCTTAGAATTATTATTTGAATAGGATTCCTATGAACTGCATATACCTTGATGCATGCGTGAGATTGATTGAT